GGTGCTTTATACCTTCTATAGGCGCCTCATGGCACCATATGGGCGCTTTACACCTTCTATAGGCACCTCACGGCACCATACGGCGCTTTACACCTTCTATAGGCGCCACACAGCACCATATGGGCACTTTATGCCTTCTATAGGCACTGCATGGCACCGTATGGGCGCTTTATACCTTCTATAGGCGCCGCACAGCACCATATGGGTGCTTTATACCTTCTATAGGTGCCACACAGCACCGTACAGGTGCTTTACACCTTCTATAGGCGCTGCACAGCACCATACGGCGCTTTACACCTTCTATAGGCGCCTCACGGTACCGTATGGGCACTTTATGCCTTCTGTAGGCACTGCATGGCACCGTATGGGCGCTTTATACCTTCTATAGGCGCCGCACAGCACCATATGGGTGCTTTATACCTTCTATAGGTGCCACACGGCCCTGTACAGGTGCTTTATACCTTCTATAGGCGCCACATGGCACCGTATGGGTGATTTATACCTTCTATAGGCACCTCACAGTACTGTATGGGCACTTTATACCTTCTATAGGTGCCGCACAGCACCATATGGGTGCTTTATACCTTCTATAGGTGCCACACGGCACCGTATGGGTGATTTATACCTTCTGTAGGTGCCCTCTCCGGCTGCGTTGCCGCCTCCTACGTATAGGTGCCTCGTCGCTCTGCCCGGGCTCCGCCGCCCCTGCTCCTATAGGAGACGTGCGCACCGCTCGGCCGCTCCACCTCAGCTCCGGCGGCCCTCATCATATAGGGTATTCACGCTTACGCAGAACGTATGGCCTTCGAGTCGGCACCTACGCACCCGCCTGCACGTATACGTACGCCTGCCCTTACAGCTGCCCGTCTCCTCGGGGCTGCCGACGCCTCCATCTGGATTGTAACGCAATTATATACATTCCCTTCATATCTCTTTACGTATCTGTTTAGACTCTATCTGTCTAGACTTATATATTCTACTTACACGTATATATTCTACTTACACTTAAGTATTTACACTTATACTCTATTTACACTTAAGTATTTATGTTTATACCTACACGTCCATACTCTATCACACGTATATATTCTATTCACACGTATATATTCTATTTACACGTCCATACTCTATCACACGTATATATTCTATTCACACGTATATATTCTATTTACACGTCCATACTCTATCACACGTCTATATTGTTTACACTTCTATACTCTATCACACATCTATATCACACCTCTATACTCTCAGACGTATATATTCTATTCACACTTAAGTGCTGACCCTTACATTCTCTTTACCCTTGTATCTACGCGTCTATACCCTACTCGCACGTCTATACCCTACTCGCACGTCTATACTCACTCCATCGCACGTCTATACCCTACTCGCACGTCTATACCCCCTCCATCGCACGTCTATACCCTACTCGTGTACTGCTTACGCTCGTACGTCCCGTTTGCACTCACACCGACGCTTGCACGCCCCGCCCGCACGGAAGCCCTCGCATCTATACCTGCCCTTCCATACGCCATCTCCTTACACCTTCCCCTGACCCCTACGGGCGCCGACGTCGGCCCTGCGCTCCCGTGCCCATTTGCCCGCCCGTTGGCGCCCATCTCGACCCTTATAGAGTCTGTCGGCACTTATATACTGCTCAAACCCCCTATGGATCCCACGCTGCCCTGCCCCTCGGACACGGCTGCACGCCCGGAGATCTCTGCACCCTCACCCATCCATAGGCGGCCCTATACGCCACCCACCGCTTTACCTTTATCCCTCCGGAGGCGGACAGCGGCACTATAGGTCTCTCTACCCTCACGCGCACCCCGGCTCCGCTCCCCTGCGGCCACCGGCTCCATACGGGGCCACGCAGACGCGTACACGCACGTATGGACCCGCGTATACACCCACGTATACACCCACGTACGGACCTGCGTGTACACCCACGTATAGATCCACGTGTACACCCACATGTACACACGTGTATGGACCCAGGTATGGACCCACGTATACACACACGTATGGACCCACGTACGGACCGGGCGGCCACCGGCTCCATACGGGGCCACGCAGACGCGTACACGCACGTATGGACCCGCGTATACACCCACGTATACACCCACGTACGGACCTGCGTGTACACCCACGTATAGATCCACGTGTACACCCACATGTACACACGTGTATGGACCCAGGTATGGACCCACGTATACACACACGTATGGACCCACGTACGGACCGGTGTATACACACACGTATGGATCCACATATACACCCACATGTAGACCCGTATGCACCCACGA